GTGGCTTGGTTGGGTCTGCTGTCGCCGGCTCCGGGCACGGCAAGCTCGGAAGATGCCTTGTCACTTCGTGGAGTGTCGTGTCCAGGATTGCTGCTGTCTGTTCTTGGTCGCAGTCAGCCAGACAGTTCTCTTCTGCTGCGTGGTGCTGCACAGCTCGGCCTACCTCTGTTGACTCCGGATGCTGCCGAGCCTGAGTCTCTTTTGCCGGTGCAATCCTTCGTGCGTGCTGGCTCGATGCTGAGTGTTAGAATGTTCGAGCTGGGATTTGTACTGTCTCTATGCTCTGCCACCAACCCAGGATTGCTGCTGTTCCTGCACGGCGTGGCATGTCTGGGGTTTGTCTTGTTCGCGCTGGATGCTGCGACATCTGACCTCTTCCTGTTCTTGCGGTCCGTTGCACGTCCAAGCTTGTGTCTGTTTGCCTTGGGCAGCTGCCGCACAGGACCCAGCATGCCAGCTCCGGGATCCTCCGATCTGGGCTTACCTTTGCTGCTGCAAGGTGTCTCCCATATCGGCTTCGTGCTGCTTGCACTGAGCTGTGTGGATTCAGGCTCCTCATTGTTCCTTCGAGGTCTGACACAGCTCGGGCCGGCAACGCCTGCTCTTGATTCTTCCGGATCGGGCTTGTCTTTGTCGTCACAAGGATGTGCCCGGCTTGATTTGCCGCTTTTTCTGCATGCTGATCTCTCTGGCACCTTGCTGCTTTCCTATGGCAAGACTGTCCTAAGTTCCTTGGTGTCAGTCTTGAGTTGTGTGACTCCTGGACCTTCGCCTTCGCTTCGAGGCGTGTCGCATCCCGATTCATCCATCCCGGTCCTGGAAGCCATGGAGATGGGCCTCCTCCTGTTATCGAGATCCCTAGCTTGCGTGGGTTTTTTGCCTTCCGTGCTCTCTGCCTGCAGGCTTGGTGACAAGCTGCCCGTTTTCGGCGAAGGTGACCTGGACTACTCGGTGTTCGCCAGAAGCCTTGCTCACTGCGGCTTCATGCCTTCAACTCTTGACTTCATCAGGTTTGGACTTCCGATGTCCGCCCGCTCTTATGCGCGGCTATCGGATCGCATGTCCGTGGCTTCCTCCGCCTACCTGGGCTTCACCGTGTTGGTCATTTCTGCATGCTCCCTGGGATCCTCGCCTTCCTTGAGGGGCGCCGCCCACGCGGGTTCGCGTCCACCTGCCTTGAGCTTTGCAGAGATGGGCTCCCCGCTGTCCCTGCAGCAGCCTTCACGCGCTGAGGCCCGGTCCTCAGAGCCGAAAAAACACCAAAGACGACCCTAACAAGATAGCAGACTATGATCGTATACAACGTCACAGTTATTTGTGCTTGTTTGCGTGCATATGTGTATGTATGAGTGTGCAGCAGAGTATGTACTTCTACGTGACATGTGCACATACCTACATACACAGACCTGTATGTGTGTGTATGTATATATATATATATATATGCATATTATATATATATATATAGTGTATGTATGTGAGTGTGAATATATATATATATAGATTGTGAGAGAGAGAGAAAGTTGGGTGTCCTATTCCACGAACAGTGCATGCGCATACCATGTATACTTGCATTGGGCAAGATCGCCTTGCGTTGCATGTGTGATGTTCTGTGGATTTTGTGATGCATTCTGCTCTCTGAAGGTCCTTATGGTACTGCATACGGCATCGATTAGAAGAAGCATCTACACATATAGTACAGCACAGTCAAGACAGTACACAAGAACATTCCTCATTCCGCTGTCTCCGAGTTGTCGCCTTTCCTGGTGGGCCTCTCGCGAGCCGGCAAGCCGCCGCCGATCTTGGATGAGGCATTTTGGGAACCGGGAGAGAATCAGCATGGAATTAGACAGCGATGGCGTCAATTCGGTACTCTTGCGCCAAGCGCTGTGGTCTGTTGGGTCGTTGTCGGGGTATGGGACTCTAGGAGTTCAGTTCTTTCACGGGGTCATGAGGCTTCGTCGACAGAAGTTGCACCACGGCAACCTCAGGATTTCCGGCAGTTCAATACAAATAGTGAAAAGTCTCGTCGTCGTCGTCGTCGTCGTAGCAGTGGTAGTCGTCGTCGTGCTAGTAACTAGTAGTAGTAATAGTCGTCGTCGTCGTCGTCGTAGTAGTAGTAGTAGTTGTTGTTGTTGTTGTTGCAGTTGTTGTAGTCGTTGTAGTTGCTGTTGTTGTTGTCGTCGTCGTAGTAGTAGTAGTAGTCGTCGTCGTCGTCGTCGTAGTAGTAGCCGTCGTCGTCGTCGTAGTATCATTACCGGTTAGCGAACTGCGTGGCAGCGGTGTTGAAGAAATGTTCTAGGGGACAGCGATCGATGTTCATCTTCTGAGGACAGGCGCCATCGTCAGAATGATGATCGTAATGATGATGATGATGACGATGATGATGATGATCCATTGGCGTTGCCATCATCAGCATCACGCTCACCGTTAACGTGGTCGTTGTATTCATCGTGGCCCTCCTCATTGTCGCCGCGGTCAGTATAGCCATCACTCTCATCGTTTGTCCGCTCTGTTTCTGAGCATATCGGAGCATCCAGTCTTGATGCTTTTGCAAGCTGGTGGTTTAGGCGGAGCCAACCCTTGAAACCTGCAATTACGGACTTTGCGCGCAGAGGCCAAGAATAGTTTGCAAAGCTTGCTCTTGTTCAAGCTTTGTTCCCTCAGGCCTCGGTGGAGAGCCGTTAACCTCCGAAAGTCTTCGATCACACCAGGTGCTTATGGACTTCTCGGCACCGGTGCGGTACATGTCTCGGGCAGGCAAGAATTATGGTAGAGTCTGCCTCTACAGCCCCCAGATATTCTGAGAGCCATAGAAAGCTGTAGTGAGTGTGTTAGCTGGTGGAGTTGCTTCAACAGGACGTGCTTGACGTAGGAGCACCATGTTTGCCTCCAACTGTTGGCTGGCCCGGCAGGACTCAAGACGTCTGCCCTGGATCACATCAGTCAGGGGCCCAAGACATGATGCAAGGACCGACACGCCTACCACTAGTCTTGCACATTCCCCGCTACAGTCCTGTGAAAGCACTGCCACCGCTTGATCCCTACGTCCTACGTGTGGCCCAGTGTCATGATGGCACTGAGCCTTTCCGGCTCCTGGTCTAGCCAGAATATGCAAACCGTAGCCGGAGCCTGATATCTATATCGCACGATCAGCAGCTGTCATTAGTAAATGCGATGATCTTCATGAAAGCAGCCGTAGTAGCAGCGGGAGTACTTGCAGCAGTTGATCTAGGAGTGGGAGTAGTAGTGTTAGTAGCAGTTGTAGGTGTAGTTGTAGTTATTTTGTAATTTGTTTATAGTCGTCGTCGTCGTAGTAGTAGTAGTAGTAGCAGCAGCAGCAGCAGCAGGAGTAGTAGCAGAAGTAGTAGTAGTAGTAGTAGCAGCAGCAGCAGTAGTAGCCGCCGTCATCGTAGTAGTGTACGGACCGGTGTGCGTGATCAGTCGTAGTAGAGTCGTTATCGGAGTTGCAGCAGCAGCAGCAGCAGCAGCAGCAGCAGCAGCTGGTGTTGTTGTTGTTGTGGTGGTGGTGGTGGTGGTAGTAGGAGCAGTACTGCAGCAGTAGTAGTTGTTGTCGTGGTGGTTTTGGTGGTGGTTGTAGTAGTAAGGGGGTGGAGGAGGCGGAGGAGCAGGAGCTGTAGTAAGTGACAGTAAGTGGAGAGTAGCAGCGGCGGTTTCGATGTATTTAGCAATCACCACGCCTGCTTGTAAGTCCAGCCTTACAGTGACCATGCCATGCTCATGGTGTTGTCCAGCTCGAGGGCAACCCCCAACACTTACAAGCCTCATCATCGCCAGTTTTCTCTCTTACTATTCATTATTGGCATGGCGGCAACTGGTCACCACACTTGTCCTTGGACGTCGCTAATTGCAGCAGCCTTGTCGCCCGCGTTTTCCGTTCGGCCAAGGTTCCGGGTCACTGATGTTGCCCCGAAACCACATGCGCAGCGACCCCAGGCTAAGGATTGCTTCAGCCGACACCCTGGGTGTCGAGAATTTCGGGATGACGATCGAAGGTTCGAGACTGCAAGAGTTCCAACTTGGGACCCTCCGAGTCCTTCACTACGGCGCCTCGTGTTAGTGGTGCGATAATCATAACCACTATCATAACCGTTCTTGATACTGTAGTCGCGGTGATGCTTTCCACGATACTGGTGGTGCTGGTGATGAAGTCTATGCTGCCAAAGGTCATAAAGATCATGATGATGATGATGATGATGCAGGCATGGGTGCGAGGTCTGGAATGATGATGATTGTGTATTTAGTGTGATCACGATGAAGAACATGATGTTGACCACTGGTAGCATGATTTTCGATACTATGAGTTTGGCTACAGAACTGCTCGTCATCATTCTTGTTGCGAGCACTGTTCATGCACCGCACGTTTGTCTATTGATGTGGCCGTTGTTTATGTTTATCCTTGCTACTGTTGTTGTATATTGGTATGGTTGGCTTCGTCTTTCCAAGGACTATGGGCGAGTGTCCACCAACGCACGGAAGCTAATGCCCATCCATCCAAACGACATGAGGAGTATATTCATTCATACGCCCATGCTTCCTGCACGCAGACATCGTTAGTGTCCCTTTTCCTTACGTGAGCTTCTGAAGCTAAGTTCTAGTGTCCTCCGATTGAAGCCCTGAACCCTAAACCCCTAAACCCTAATCCTATAACCCCTGAAGCCCTGAACCCTAAACCCTGAACCCTGAACCCTAAACCCTAAACCCAATTTAGCAGACGGCAAAAGGCCCTCAAAAAAAAAACTAAACCCAGTGTAGTCCCCTTGAACCCAGGCCTGGGTTTGCAGCCATCCGTGGAGAGCGAGTCTCGACCGGATTGCTCTCTGTGCCATGGCTGCAGTTCGGGCCATGACGCTTCTGTCGGAAACATATATATATAGTATAATATATAGTATATAGTATATAATATACAATAGATAATATATAATATATACACATGTATATTTCTTCCTGGCCGCAGGCTTTTGGAATTTCGAGGAGTTTGAAAAGGGGAGGTCGTTGTGAGAGTATCTTGGCACCGGCCGGGACACATGCTGCCGGGACCGTGACCATGGGGTCTGTTCGGATTTCGTGTGCAAACTTGTGTAGCGACACTGCTACTTGCAACATGCAAGAACAAGGTGAAGGGTACAAGCACACTTGCCACCTTCACCAGCCACAGGGCTTCCATCCACACAGCCCCTGTGAAGGTTCGCCGAAACTGACGTGAATGTCAGACAGTCGTTGCCAGCGAGGCACTTGCACTTGATCTCGGCAGTCTGGTGATAGACGCAGGACCTTTTTTGCTCACGCGCGACAGTCTGCATGAAGCTGAACCGGGTGTAGAAGTGGACTTTACCTGGTCTGTGAAGCACGCCTGACAGGGAAATGGCATGATGTGGCCATGCCTTATCCGCACTGGACTACGTCCGCTTCGGGTTGCCGACGTCCGCGAGGCACACGACCCACGGTGCATGCATGCTTGCATGATTGTCAGATAAGGCTAGTAACAACTCGAGCAGGGACCAGCAGCGGGAATAGTTTGGGGAATAGCAGCAGAATTAACATTAAAAGTAGGAGTAGGCATCAGAGTATCAGTAGGAGTAGGGCGGGCAGTGCTAGTGGTAGTCGTCGTCATCGTCGTAGTAGGTAGTACAAGCAGTAGTAGTAGTAGTAGTAGTAGTAGTAGTAGGAGCAGCAGCAGCAGCAGCAGCAGCAGCAGCAGCAGCAGCAGTAGTAGTAGTAGTAGTAGTCGGAGTGGGAGTAAGAGTAGGAGTAGGAGTAGTAGGAGGAGTAGTAGGAGTGGGAGTAGGAGTACGGGTAGTAGGACAGTAGGAGCAGTAGGACTAGTAGGAGTAGTAGGAGCAGTAGGAGCATTAGGAGTAGGAGCAGTAGTAATAGTAATAGCGGCAGCAGGAGTGGTGGTGGTAGTAGTAGTAGTAGTAGTAGTAGTAGTAGTAGTAGTAGTAGTAGTAGTAGTAGTAGTAGTAGTAATAAAAGTGGTAGCGGTAACGATAATCATGGTGAATATAGTAGTAATAAA